TTAACAGTGAAAACAAACATAGGACAAAATGGAAAAAAAAAAAACGTTTTCCAAAACAATAACAGCTATAAAAACAACTTGACAACCAAAGAAATTGAAAAGAAAAAGAAAAAAAGAAAAAATGTTCCTGTTAAAGATAAATATTGCTTAACTCTAAGTTAATTTTCTTTCTTTGTATCCTGAATGCCAATAGAGAGCATTTACAAAAATTAACTATTTACCCTTTTTCAAACAAAAAAAAGTTTGCTTGCTTTTTTTAAATCAAAATTTATTTTTGCAGTTATCCAAAATTCAGTGTTAGAGTTCATGGCTTGGGTTGTTGGTCATCAATGGTGATGTCTTAGACCTCAGAAAGTTAAAATAAACGTACAAGCGCCTTAACAATGATCACAAGAGGATTGGATTTATCACCCTAGGCTTTCCACACCACAATCTGAAAGCACAAAAAGTCACCTTGAAACTTTAAGCTTATGATGCAAAGCAACACCAAATCCTGACAATGCAATTAACATGAAAAATGTGAAACAATGTGTTTGTGTAGACAAGGCTTCCCAACGTCCCCTAACAATACCCACACCTTATCTGTAACTTCACCAGGCGTCTTGGAGAGTGTAATTACACCAGGACCCTCCAGCCTGGGACAGTGCTGTTGGCCTGATTGGATCTCACCTTGGCTTGACCTCTTCATCCCAGGGTGACTGAACCAACTCGCTACATCTTGACGAAGAACAATGCATTAGTTAATCAACTGATAAAACCTCTAGATAAAAGTGTCTGGATCCCATTAGCTCTGGAAATAACTCTCCACTCTGTGCTGGCAGTTTTACTATTGCTGAGGATGTAGTGTAGCATAGAGCCAGTATCTTTCACGAGGGGTGGGACTCTTAATGAGCAACTTCTTTTGGATGCAGAGTCAGCAGAACTTGTTCAGTGGACAGACAGATGCAGATATCAAACTTTAGGTTTGCAAATCTTGTCTGTGTTGCTCACAGCTGTCTGGTCAACTAAGAAAAACATTTTTGTTTCTGAATGGCAACTGCGAAAATCTCTAAATTCCTTTATTAAGTTAAATTCCTTTCATTTTCCTAGACTGACGTCTGCCACGGGATCCAATTTTACCCAACCATATCTAAGTAATCTATTATAGTTTTAATGCATATAAATTAGTCACATACCAGCTGTAACAAAAGAAAAGCAAATAATGAATACATAGAATAGCTTGTAATTTACTGAATTATTTGGATTAATTGCCCAAGTGCATCCTATTAAATATCCAATATATATTTGCAGTTTTCTTCCTATCAAAATATTTAATGTTAGTATAGGAGCGTTCCAGTCTACTCTTAGGAACTCTTGCTAATTTGTAGTGTCATAAAATTAAATATATGCAGTTGGTAACCAACTGGTTACTTTATAGCCTAGGCAGAGAGGGTGTATAAATGATTCCAACTCTCTAAGCAGGTGTTATGAAGGCAGATCTAGCCTTGCTGGAATATATTGCAGCCCACGCCTTCAGGAGAGAGGCCATCTTCAGAGACCAACCTAACAAATTTTGAAGTGTAACAAATGGCTTGTCAGAAATCCCTGACTGCCAAGAGAAGTTTTGCAGCAGCTACACAACTCCTTGAAACAACATTCAAGTCTTCAGACAGACCACGCTAACCCAATAGCTTTTTTCCAGAGGGAAAGCACAGATCTTGTAGTATTCCCTGAACTGTTCAATTCCAAAGGTTTTAAAATCATCATCAGGACATTGTCCAAGCATTTTTAATTTCCTTGTGATGAGCAACATTAAGAGGGAATTCCATGACATTGCTCGAGTGCCAGAAATTATTGGAGAAATGTACTGCACCCATGTGTTTGTGCTCCATCTGCCTACTTGATAAAATATATGAATACTTTTTCTAAAGCACTTATTCACCTTAGGTTCATGGGCAATCTGGCCTGGAGCCAAGCTGTCATAAAACAGTGTACAGCCTGCACAGGTCAACCTCGTCTATCATGGGGCTAACACAAACAGACTGACAAGCAAACGCTCACATCTTTACCTACGGCCAATTTAGAATCACAGATGAATCCAACAATCGTGTCTTTGGACTGATGGACAGGCCACAGCACACAGAGAGAACCTACAATGGCTTTGAGAAAGTGGAAACCAAACACAGAAGGCCTTTTGCAGTATGTAATTTACTAATTCTAAACACTGGATTCTCTTTGCCATATTTTTATCTGATAAACCTGGCCTGACCTGATTTGCTAAAACCATAACTACTCAAGAGATTCAGCTACAAACACTTCCTTGCACCATAACGCAGCACACTTTAGGCAGCTCAAGGGTCATTGGAGGTGTTTGGACGCAGCTGGGGTTACTTTACAGCCCTGAAAAGGTGTGCATGATCATTCTGGCATGCTGTGTCCTTCACAACATTGCAATAGCACATGACATTCCTTTACCATCTGGAACAGAGCAGCAACTTGTCTGCCATCTACATCAGCGGTCCCCAACCCCCGGACCTCGGACCGGTACCGGTCCGTGAGTCGTTTGGTACCGGGCCGCGAGAGTAGAGGCTCAGGTGTGAAATGTATGGTTTTCGGGGGTTTTATCGGTTTTCAGCGTTATTTTGTTATCGTTTTTATCTTTAACTCAGTCATCCTGGGTCTTTTCATGTGTGTTATGAATAAATCTTCTTTTTTTCGGTACCGGTACTAGTTTTATTTTGTTGTATTTATCCGCAACACCTAAAAGGCCGGTCCGTGAAAATATTGTCGGGCATAAACCGGTCCGTGGCGCAAAAAAGGTTGGGGACCGCTGATCTACATGACACACAACCAATGATGGAACTGGTGGGGCAGCAATTCAGGCTCATCGAGACTTAGTTCAGTGTCTTTGAACTGAACTGATAGTCAGCTGAATGCCTAATGTTAAAAAGACATTTTTGATGAAATCCTATACTATATATATACATATATATAAATGCTTCACTGCAGCTGGTTGTAGGCAAGTCAATAAGTGGGCATCTCGATCGCATTCTTGCATGTCTTGGACAGTGGAATATATGGCTAGTGGCCACTCCATCCCAGCATCACACTGGCCTACAGTTTAAAATAGCTGGGAAAAAGTTTGTTTGCATCGCCTTTTTTTTTTTTCTTCAACAAAATATAAACGTTACACCGATTGGACTGTGTTTAAGAAATTACATGTTGTTGAAAGTCCTTGCTGGAACTGATTCCTTTCCACCACATGTCAGGCCACTCTCCTACATATAAATGTTTTTATCTTCTGGTCCATTATCCTGTTTCTGTTTTGGTTTTTTGTTGTTGTTTGTTTTATTTCAATCCAAATTCTTTTTTTTACCTAAGCCCCAGTTCAGTCTCAGAAGACAAATAATGATGACTGATGACTTACATTCAGTGCATCAATTATTGCAGCACTTTAGAGAAGTGTGCCTTGCAGCATCCACCTCAGTCATGGTTTTCTCCAACTTTACTGCTTACTCCATACACCTCAAGACAACCATATTTTTCTATTTAGAGAAATGTGCACATAGCCTATTCCTGCTGTCTGCAAACAGCCCGCTGTTTTTTTTCTTCCAAAGAAGGATTCTGTATTGAATTGTAATTATTATGAATCACTAACATATGCTAAGAACAAAATTAGGCCTTGAACATGTTTTAAAATGTTACATTGAAAAAAAACATGTATTTAACACATGCAATATATTCCAGCAAGGCTAGACAAATTGTCTAATTGTAAATTTGAATGTATTCCCATTTTCTGCTCATTTCTTTGGCCTCATTCACTTATATATGTACACATATGGTAATAAAGATCGAGGCCTATATTCATTTAAAATAAAAGTAGTTATTACATATCTGTGGTTTGTGTAATTGCTAAAGAAATAAGGAAAGGTCACTGTGGTCTATGAAGCTTTCACAACATAACAGTATGTGACTAATCTGTCTTATAGGAGCTGACAGTACAGAGACAGGAACATCTCTATATCGTCTAATCTTGTAATCTACTCAGACCTTCAGTTGCAGAGCGTTAAGCTTTTTCACAACTGTCACATTTGAATAAACAAATCTAGAACAGGAAATGGAGTCTTGGATCAACACTCAGTAACCAACTGCTGCACTGAATAATGCATTCCTCATAACAACAATGTGCCATAGAGACATATGAGACAGAGTAGAGGAGGGCAGTGCCTGCTGTGAGTTAGATGGTAATTGAAATTTTGACAAGTAACATTCCTCTCAATATCCCAGGAACATTTCTGAAATACACACACTGTAAATTGTTTACAAACAACAACCATAATTAGTGCCTTGCAGTTGTATGCCTCTGACAACCAGTGAAGTTATAGACTGCACGGGCTCTCCAGACTCACAGGATATATAACCATAGTGAAGATTACGATTTAATTAGCGTGCACCACATTTCTTTAGTTTTGTTTTTGCATTTTAATCATCAAAATCATCTAATGAGTTCATCTTGCAGTCTCTCAGGCCCCTCCCACTGTCTCCAAGGAAGTTTTCAATAATTGCCTTACAAGGGAGGGTCAGCTGATGCAGCTCTCCTTGGTCTTCAAGGCTACAAAAACGGACCCAGATGAACTATTTAGGCTCTTTCTTCCATTCTGGCATCGAACCTTTTGATATTAATGTTGCGTTGGGTTTTTTCAATAAATGTTTTATGTAAGGAAACCTGTTGTATGGACTGACAGCCCCAAAACACAATGTCTCTGGCCACGCCTGTCAGAGGCACAAAGTCATAATGCCATGTACTAGTTTAGAATATTAACTGTTACACGCATGCATTTAAATGCAGCTAATCACTAGACATTAGAGTATCAGAGTAGATAAAGACATATAAAATAGAAGTATAAAATAAAACAAAATGAAAGCAAAATAGCTATTAATTTTATTCACCAAGTCTATGATAAGAACAATACAATTTACAGTTTTCCTTATCTCCAGCAGGATGCTATATAAAAACTTACCTTCTGTCTCCAGCATAGCACCGATGACAATACAAGATCAGCAGACCTCATGCTGCAACCAGAAACCAAGACAAAACAATGCATTCTTAACCATGGCTGCATTTAATCTGTGGCAAACAATAAATTCAGAGGTGCTAAAGTTGAATTTTCCCCCACTGTTCCATCAAAATTAATCGTTTTAGAGCAGACTTTAAAAAAGTGGCCTGTCTGAATTAATATATTGGTTCATTATTGTGGCCCAGATTCCATCGCCTGGTACCATGTAAACACTTTTGTTTTCCTCCATATTTTTTTACAAAACAAATTAGAAGATTTTTCTTGATGCTCTTAGTTAGAGTTTCATTTCATTAACATTTTATACTCTGCATTGCACGGGAATATAGTACTGACTAAAAAAAGTGTGCAGCTTTTGTGCACCAAGCAAAGCAACAAAAAATAAAAGATTTAAAAAAATCGGTGCGTGATGTTATGGAAATGACAGTGCTGAATAAACATGCAATTAAACCGAGAGCAGCTGACATTCATTAAGCATGAGCCTCTCTGAGAATAACTCTGTGATATACGCCTGGATTAGCCTGGATTAGTTGTTTACCACTTTGTGAGTGACGTCTTTGAGATGCTTTTTTGGGAAGGAAATACTAAAAGGGAACAAAATTATTTATTTAATAAGGCCTAAACTGTTTGAAGTTTTCCTTGACTGATCTAAGCAGATGCCTGCTGTCCCATTCACTGACCCAATCTAAATAGTAAGTTAACCTTTCAGTTTACATTGAGTTTATTAAATATTACACCTCTTATACATGCATATATAGAATACATTTGCAGCTATGTGCAGTTAATGTTTAGAAAAGTTTATCAATGACATGCTGTGCAAAAAATGGTACCTATATAAAATGGTAAATGGTAAATGGCCTGTATTTATATAGCGCCTTACTAGTCCCTAAGGACCCCAAAGCGCTTTACATATCCAGTCATCCACCCATTCACACACTGGTGATGGCAAGCTACATTGTAGCCACAGCCACCCTGGGGCGCACTGACAGAGGCGAGGCTGCTGGACACTGGCGCCACCGGGCCCTCTGACCACCACCAGTAGGCAACGGGTGAAGTGTCTTGCCCAAGGACACAACGACCGAGACTGTCCAAGCCAGGGCTCGAACTGGCAACCTTCCGATTACAAGACGAACTCTCAACTCTTGAGCCACGATCGCCACGATATAGTTTATAATATTGTAGTTGGGATGAAACAAAGACGATACAGCGACACTGTAATTGCAGCATAATTAAATATGGTACTTTGATAGGAACCCCTCAGGACTATATTACACATTGATAACAATTACAGGAAAATTTAACACCCCCCCACCCCCCACACTAGAGGTCTAATTGATGCTCTATCAACTCTGGGGTGGAAGACACAGCATGACATATGGATTCACAGTGTGAGTGCTCTATCGCCTTTGTTGGGTGAGGCACTTATCTGGTTGTGCTTCCCAGATAAGGGAGGAGGGAGCAAGGGAAGGCTGAAAGTAGGACTTTATTGAACATTCTGTCTCTGTGGAAAACCCTGCACAGGTTCACTTTGTGAAAGCAGAGACCTCACAGTGGCCACCAAATCCAATCAAATGTTTCGAGGGCTGACAGGCCCAATCTGTCAGTGGCTGGTTTTTTCCCACCTTCAGTTTTGGAGATAAGCTCCAGGTGGAAGATATTCACAGATGCAGAAGCCAAACAATGCTGGTGAAAAATTACAAGGCAAGGCAGGAGATAAAACTAAATATTTCTCGAACTTTTCCAATATTATTCTCTTTATTAATTAGTTGTAAGAATTTGAACAATTCCATTAGTCCACCAAATGGGAAAAAAAGTTATATTCAGAAGCTGTTTTGCAACCATTATGGTAAGAAGATAATCTTTTTCATATGCTGCATGATTTTTTGCAGTTCATATTTCACGGTATTGTGAAAGGAAATGGACTGAATAAAGTACAGTTGTGCATGTGCATGCATGTGTAACTGCACTCTTTTAAAAACTACAATAAGAGGTCAAGTAATTGACCAAAAGTCTTCATAAAAAAATATAACACTGCAGGTGACTTATTTTAATCAGTGTGCAGTGAAGTTAATCTCTTAACAATTAATACCCTAATGATTATTTTTAACAGGGGAGTTAATGCGTAATCATAACAATATAATCTCATTATTTAATCAGTTTATCACACCATGCTTTCTGACTGTCAATTTGTGGTGAGTGATTGGAATTTAAAGCCAGTAATTATTACAACCTTCTTGCTTTTCTAATCATTTCTAAGATGTAGCAACGCAGAAGAGCGGATACATTCCGCTTTTATGCCGAGGTTGTAAATGATACAACTAATTACAAGTAATAAATGACCGTGATGGCAGAGTTTATTCGTGAGATTAAATGCTGATGCTCCATCTGCCAGTTAAAGAAAACACGACGTAAAGTCAATGAGCACACTAATATAGATTCACATACCATCTGTGGCTTCAACAGGACCACCTGAATTTTCCCCAACATTCCCAGCACAGTGATTAAATCAGCTTATACTCTCAGACAGTGTCACAAAGAACTCTAATGATTTCTTGCTATGCCCCTTCCTTTCTAATGCTGTAATTTCAAAAAGAGGACTTGAAAGAGCTTAAACACAATAATTCTCTTTGTGTAATAAAATGCAAGGAACTGACTTATCTTATGTAACTTGTTTTTTCAATGGTGAGCCAAGCTTTCATTTCCACACAGAGTGAAGGTCTTTGAAATACAAACAAATGAAATGAATTCCATGTCAAATAACATGTGATAAGAGGTGTGACACAATCGTTAGTACTCTCACTTCACAGCAAGACTGATCCTGATTCAAACCTCATGGGCCTTTCTGTGTTGAGTTTGCAAGTTCTCCCTGTGCCTGCGTAGGTTTCCTCTGAGTACTCCAGCTTCTTACCATAGTTGAAAGAAATGCTTGCTAGGTTACCTGATGATTCTAAATAGACTTTGTGTGATCGTCTCTTTATGTTAACCCTAGGTGCACCCTGTCTCTTGCCTTATGTAGAGCTCCAGGTTCTTGTGAAGTTGGATAAGCTGATAAGATAAGAAAGCTGATGGATTATAAATTCACATTTTAATTTTTTTTTATTTTCGACTTAATAATGCACAGTTTTATATGTAAAATGTCAAATAGATGGTAAGTAAAGGCAGACTGTAAGCTGGCTGCAGGGTTTGCTGCATCTTGTTTTTGGAGTTGACAACTTGGAACTGGCACTGTGGATTAAGCCGTGACTCTGTCAAGTAGTATGCTAATGTGAACATATCTTATTTTTATAGAATCATGAATAAATCAACTAGAACTGCCATGTGGCACTTGTATGCCAATCAGTGCACCTTTGGTTTTCCATCAGCATCATTTGGCACTTTGGACAGTCTCCAAAGGGACTGTTACGGGTTTTTTTAGATTTTACTTTTTTTTTTTAGATTTCCCAATAGGCCATGACTGTGATGACATCATCTGCCAATATATGGTTTGCTTTAGAAACAACACCATGAAGTCCGGTGTGAGCCATTGACCAAAAAGCTGCAAGTGTTGTCAACAGCAGCAATAAAGCATTTTTCCTTCTATTTAGGTTGTGCCCACTGGAATCTTATTCAGCTGTTATTATTTACTCTAAATAATTATTCAACTGTAGCACCAGCAATGTGCTGATAACCCTTTACATATTTTTCTTGACACGACAGAATAGACAAACTTGTATTATATTTTACATAATGTTAGTAAACTATGTATATCTTTGTGAGAGCTATTACAATGACACGTTTTAATTGCCATGACTAAAGTTGATGCACATGATGTTTCCAAGAAAGAACAAACATGTGGTTTCTTAATAAGTTCACGCTCAGTGTTTGTATCCAAGAAACCAGAATTTTCGTGCATATGTACCTACAAGGATATCTACTTCATATTTGATTGTGAATTACTGGGTTTGTTAACACACACAACATATATCACGTATATATTTTTGATCTTTTCCAGTGTCATTGCTGAAAATGGCAGATGTGGTTATTGTTAACAAGAGCAAAGAGCAGTTATATCTTATAGAACATGCAGTGTGACCATGACTTGGAGGAGGCATTACTCATCAAGGTTACCAGCCTTATGTTGAAGAGCCCTCCTGGGTTTGATAAGAATACAGAGTGCATGTTCTTAGCATTTGTAAAACTAATTTTGCTGTTGCAAAATACATTCCAATGTGTTCAGCAGTGTATGCTTTCATCTATAGCTCTTTCTGTATCTGTCCATTAAGCTAGGATTTGCAAACCTAATTGCAGCTTTTCTCTGCGAAACCAAAAATTAAAAAGTTAAAGTATAAAGTTAATGTACAGCCTCCCTTTAAAAACAAGCAATTTAACATTGTAACCTTTATATGCATAAATTAGATCGTTAAAAGCCCAATTGATTAATTAATTCAACAATGACTAAAAAAAAAATACCAGTTTTTAGTAATATTTCTATCTAAATAATGCAGAGAAATGTAATAATTGAAAGATTAAAATTAGGTTTTGCTTTCCAGATTGGCCTCATGATGCGAGTGGTGCCTTATGGGTAGACAGTCCTACAGCTGAGTCACAAGTTTTGCTCGAAGCAGGATTTTACTTGGCATTAAAGCATTTTAAGAAAAACAGATTTGAGATTAAGATTAAGTTATAATACAGGAGAAGTTAGTTGTTTAGCCATTCATGGATCAGAGCATTTATGAGAGTATTAACATTAGAATACCAATGCTCAGGCGTCAAAATGCCTCCGATTATCTCTCCAAATGCAGGTAAAGACTAGGATGAGTTGTCAGCAACTGGCCAAGTGCATCACTACTGATTTCTTTTTCGCTCTGACTCTTTACATGGTTGTTACTACGTTATGTTGCTAAACTAATGGTCTTCTTCCCTGAGAATTTAAGCCTATAATGCCCTTGATAGATGATACATGAGTTTACATGAGTTGATATTTGAAACATGAGTTTCTGAGACCTCTATCTCATCGGCATGATCAATACTTGCTATAATTTCAAAATGTTATGGAAAAAACTCTTTTTTTGTCTGAAATTAACATTGTTGTTAACAAAAAAAAGTTGCCAACAACATGTATCAAATGCGTTACAAAAAATATAATAAATGTATAATAAAAATATATCATACACAACAAGATATAGCAAAAAAAAAAAGTGTGTTTTGTTATAAGGGTTAAAAAACATCTCAGTTCCAAATAAATCAGAATTTTTTTGATGGGTTGGGTCTTACAGGGTTAAGAGTCCAAGACAGTATTTTCTTCAGTTTGTGGTGATACTAGAGCTGTCACAACAGAGACAACTGCACTGACGCTGCTCTAATGAAGACACTTGTGCATGACAAGGCAATGTATGGACACCTGCCATTGGGAAAACAATGTTAAGCAGGGGAGAACAAAAGACCAGTGTAGAAGCCTCCAGTCCTCTGTAGAACACCTTTCTCAGCTAAAACTCTTTTCAGTGGCACTAAGCAATTCACATGTTGCCACACCATCAAACATTACAGCTTCTGCACCCTAACATGCTATTACAACCTGCTTTTTCATTAAAGGGGTGCGAGGCGTATAGCTTGTTTATAAATAACAAAAGATATAATTTATGAACAAGAAAAGAATGCACTCGAAAACGCTGGGTTGCAAATTATACAATTTATAATATATGGCCTCATATACCTTATTTAAGATAATAAATAAGAATGATCCAGACATATTATCCAGACATATTTAATCTCTCATTTTTAAATGTCTTTTTCAATCCATTTCAGAATAACATCAATAGGAAAATGAAAAACTATGAAAAAATAACAATGTATGAGCACGAGAAAGGATTTG